CCCCCCCACCCCCCCCAGCCTGCTGCCATAACCTGTCCCCAGTTTCCACTGCGTCTGGTGGTCCCACACAGGACTCAGCTCAGCGTTTGCCACCCCTGGGAAGGAGGGGGTCTGGGGGCAGGGCCTGGAGGGTGGCTCGGATTCCTGGGGGGACACAGAGCCCCTCCCCCACTGGCCTCCCCCAGCCCAGAGTTCCCCTCATGACACCCCTCACCCCCGCAGGCCCCAGGTCCTCCTCCCAGACTGGACTCAGCCACCTGTATGTCCCAGGACCGGACACAGGTCTGACGCAGGGTGGAGGCTCCAAGCAAGGGCCAGATGGATGAGTGGTGAGCCTGCCCTGGGCTTGTTCAGGGCCCTTGGGCCCCAGGAGAGGTGTGTCCTTTCATGAGGACCCTTCTTTAAGAAAAGGGCAGGTGGGGTCAGCAATGAGCGGCTGCTCCAGGCCAGAGTGAGGTCTCTCCTGGCGACTCAGGCCCAGGGCCTGCGGTTTGGAGAAGGATGCATCCAGTTTTCGGGGTAAGGCTGCAGTTTCAACTTGGTCCCACAGACACAACCCAAGTCCCCCAAATACAAGCCCATGGGCGTCCTGCAGTCACCAAGGTCAGCAAGCAAGGACTGCCATCCTGCCAGCAGCTGCTGCCACCTGTGGTCAGCATCAGCCGTTTCAGGCAGGCATCCAGGCGCTTTCGGGGTTTCTGGAACTCCACCTGGGTCCCCACCTCTCTGGTACCCACCACCCATCTGAAGTCGGACCTTGGCTGATGGGGTGGCCCCTCTCCAAGGTCTGCCCTCCAGATCCTCCCTCTGAATCTCTCTCCATCCTGCCCTGGAGCCTCCTCCTGTCACCTGTCCGTCAGCCCCTCAGGAGAGCAGAGAAGTCCCCACCACCCCAGGGTGCTCGAGCCTCAGGCTGGCTTGGATCAGGCCTGCCCTGGGGGCAGGAGCTCTGCCCAGGTGCCAGGTGTGGGTGGGTGCGGAAGATACAGAGATCATGATCACTCCCAAAGAAACAAGGAGGGGTGCAGTGGGCTGCTAGGAGGGGCAGACGTGGACTGGCTGGAGCCCAGGAACATGGGCCAGGGTCAGAAAGAAGGGCCAGCCAGCCAGGGACCTGGATAAAGTAGCTCCTTCCCACTGCGGGGTGGGCTGGGCCGGGGAGGGCCTGGACAGCAGGACAGAGCTTGAGCAGGGCTGGGAGCAGGCTTTTGGCAGAAGGGACAGGTGTAGAGGGGGACAGAGGGGCGAGGTAGTCAGGCCTGGCTGGCCTGGGAGCCTTGAATGCTGCCCTGAGGCACCAGCCCACATCTACTGGGGACCAGGGAAGCTTGGGGGTGTGACTTGGACATCCTGCTCAGGCCCTCCTCCTGCTCCCCCACTCCCCAAGCCTCTCCTGGGACCCTGGTTTCCACAGAGACCACCGCTGGCTGCAGGTCTGAAGGCTGATCGATCAGTGATTGATGGCTGGTGGGGAAGGCGCTCGGTGTTCTGACTCTGTGGGGACTCATTGAGGTGGATTTCCCCCCAGAGGCATCTTCACGCATCTGCCCCTGAGAACCAGAGACCCTGAGCCTGGTGCCCAGGGGCTCCTGCTGCCTGGAGGACACGGCCTCACCCAGATGCTGACCCTGCCCTCTGATGGCACAGCCACAGCAGGCACAGGCCAGGCACAGGGGAGACAGCCAGCCACTCCAGGAGTACTTACAGAGCTCCAAGCATAGAAGCCAGCACCTCTCCAGGTACTAGGCGTGTGCTGGTTGTAAGAGTCAGTGAGTGAGTGAGTGAGTGAGTGAATGACTGAGTAAGGGAATGAGTGAGGGAGGGAATGAATGAATGAATGGATGAGTGAATAAATGGGTGAGTGGGTGAATTAATGAGTGAATGAGTGATGAATGAGTGAGGAAATGAATGAGTGATGGATAGGTGAGTGAATGAATGAGTGGTGAGTGAATGAATGAATAAGTGAGCAAATAAGTGAGTGAGTGAATTAGTAAGTGAATTAGTGAGTGCATGAATGGGTCTGTGATTAGTGAGTGAATAAATGAATGAGTGAGTGACTGAGTGAGTGAATGAATGACTAATTGAGGGAATCAGTGAGGGAGGGAGGAAATGAATGAGTGGATGGGTGAATAAATGACTGAGTGGGTGAATTAATGAATGAGTGAATGAATTAGTGAGTGACTGAATGAGTGATGGAATGAGGACATGCATGACTGAGTGATGAATGAGTGGGTAAACTGAGTAAATGAGTGGTGAATGAGTGAGTGGCTGAGTCAATGAGTGAGTAAGTGGGTGACTAGGTGAGGGCTGAGTGAATGGGTGAGTGAATGGGTGAGTGAGTGAGTGAGTGACTGAGTGAATGGGTGAGTGAGTGGGTGATTGGGTGAGTGGCTGAGTGAATGGGTGAGTGAGTGGGTGACTGGGTGAGTGGCTGAGAGAATGAGTGAGTGGCTGAGTGAATGGGTGAGTGAGTGGGTGAGTGAGTGGGTGACTGAGTGAGTGGCTGAGTGAGTGAGTGAGTGGGTGACTGGGTGAGTGGCTGAGTGAATGGCTGAGTGAGTGAGTGAGTGGGTGACTGGGTGAGTGGCTGAGTGAATGGGTGAGTGAGTGAATGGGTGGGTGAGTGGCTGAGTGAGTGAGTTGGTGAGTGGGTGGGTGACTGGGTGAGTGGCTGAGTGAGTGACTGGGTGAGTGAGTGGGTGACTGGGTGAGTGGCTGAGTGAGTGAGTTGGTGAGTGGGTGGGTGACTGGGTGAGTGGCCGAGTGACTGGGTGAGTGGGTGGGTGACTGAGTGAATGGCTGAGTGAATGGGTGAGTGGGTGGGTGACTGGGCATGTGATGAGTGACAGAGAGGCGGGGGGTGCCAGAACGGATGTGGGCAGGGACAGCCACTGGGGACACACAGGTAACACACAGACAGGGCAGCCCCCTGTCCTGGCCGAGGCCACACCTCCTCGTCCTCGCCCTAGTCTGGCTCCATCTCCCCGCAGACAGGGCCCCGTCCCCGTCATGGCGGTGGGTTGAGGGGGACCCGCGCGCCCTCGAGGGGCTGGGTGAGGCAGGGGGGCCCTGACAGACCACGGGAGCAGAACAAGGTGGGGGCTGGCCCGGGCACTTGTCCGTCTGGGACCCGCCCCACACTCCCCGTCCTGCCCCCAGTACCGGGGGGAAGGTCTGAGAAGCTGTCAGTGGCCAGGCCTGGCCCTCGGCCCTGAGTCTGGGCCTCCAGGGGGCCCGCTTAGTGACCAGGCCTTAGTGACCCGGCTCAGGCCTTCCGGAGCCTCCCCACGCTGGTCAGGTCCCCTGCAAGCTCCATTCTCCTGCGAGGGTGGGAAACTCCTGCTCCTGGCCGGGCACAAACGGCCCTGGGGGCTGGGGGTCAGCAGGGCAGTTTGCGCAGCTCAGCTCCGGGGGTGACCCAGCAAAGCTCGCTCCCCCTCCCTGGCCTTGGGCTCCCCAGCTCCCATGCCCTTCCAGAAGGCCAGCTCTGGTGTCCATCAGGGCAGGGGGTGCCCCTGGAGAAGGGAAGAATGCGACCAGAGAGGGGTCCAGCCAGCATCCCGGGTCTCATCCCCTGCTGCTCTGACCGGTGGGGGAAATGGGCCTCCTCCAGGCCCAGGTGACCAGAACTCCTAGTTGAACCCCACTGCTTCCCAGGGTGCCTGAGAAGTGAAAGAAGTCGCTTAGTCGTGTCTGACTCTCTGCGACCCCGTGAACTGTCCATGGAATTCTCCAGGCCAGAACACTGGAGTGGGGAGCCGTTCCCTTTTCCAGGGGATCTTCCCAACCCAGGGATGGAACCCAGGTCTCCCGCATTGCACGCGGATTCTTTACCAGCTCAGCCACCAGGGAAACCCAAGAAGACTGGAGGAGTGGGTAGCCTTCCCTTCTCCAGGAGATCTTCCCACCCCAGGGATGGAACCCAGGTCTCCCGCATTGCGGGCGGACTCTTTACCACTGAGCCAGCAGGGAAGCGCCTGACCCTTAGCAGACCCGCCCTGCCCACAACGGGGAGGCGCTGGGAGCCGGCCGGGCATCATGCACAGCATAGCACTGCCCTCTGCCGGCACCGCCCGGGGCCGCGCGCTCCCCTGTGTGGGGAGGGCACTCAGCCAGGGGCCCCACCCCAGGAGCTCCCGGAGGAGACACTGATGGAAGGTGGGGTGGCCAGAGGAGGGAGGGAGGGAGCTGGCTGGAAGACTTCCTGGAGGAGGGGGCTTGGAGCTGGGTCTGGAAGGCTCCAAATGGCTCAGAAGGCTGGAAGGCTTCACTCGCCTCAGGACCCGAAGGACTTCAGGCCCCCCAAGGAAACCACCCACAGCACACGCGCCCAGCCTCTCACCTTCTCGTCGGGCGTGGGAGAAAACATCTTCTCCTCCTGGGGATGCTTGGAGAAGTCGAAGGGATAGGACACCACCAGGTCACCCCCGTGGAGGCTGGCTGAGAGCACGAAGGGGATGGTCCGCATCCACTTCATTATTGCCTTTGTCTCGGGGGCCACCTGCCCGGGGGGGGCGGGAAGGAGACAGTCGTCAGGGCCAGGCGCATCCCCACCAATCACTCAGCCCCACGCCCGAGCTTTAGGATTCTGCCCAGGCCCCACCCCACTGGGTGTTCCCCAAGTGCCCATCCTGGGCCTGGAACTCTCCTCCCCTATCTCCTGAGGATGCCACCTCCTCCAGGCAGCCCTCCCATGCACCGTCACCAGGCACCTGCCAGGTTCTGGGTGCTTTCAGTAGGGGCAGGACCCCCCGAGGGTCCCGGAATAACCAGAGACCCTCAAGGTCGGCAGCGGGCTCCTACCTTACCCCACCAGTAGTGCTGGGGGATGGCGATGTGGTCACTGCGCGCGCCGCGGACCGAGGCCAGGCGGTAGTACTCGGACGTCAGGTCAGGGAAGTTTCGGTTCAGGTCCAGGTTCTGTGCGTTCTGCCTGCCACTGGTCCACCCGTTGTAGCCGGCACCCTGAACCACAGGATGGCCCCCAGCCAGGGGTCAGCACACCCACGGAGGCACAAGGCTGGGCTGAGAGTCACAGTGGGTGGTGTTCTCTGTGGTTTCATGAGATGAACTCTGGAGCTCATCCGCCACCTCCCTGACCTCCAGGCTGGCCCTCCAACCTCAGGCCCCACGCCAGCTGGCTGTGCCCTGCCTGGGGTGCCCCACGTCAAAGATGCACAGCTCGCTGCCCACACCCTGCAGGCCCTGCTCAGGGTCACCTCCTCCAAGAGGCCCTCCGCTCCGGCTAGTGCACACTCTGGCTCCTCCCGCCCACCCCCGTTTCATCCTGTTTCTACAGGGCAGGTCACCTTTTAAGCCACCGCAGAATAACGATCATCGGTCCCCAAGCCAAGCAGGACTTTGCCCATATGAATGCCTGCTGAGAGTCCCCATGACCCAGCACAGCAGGTACACAGAGCCTCCACAACCGCGAGTGGGTGAACGGACGGGGCGTGTGGAAGGCAGCGGTCGCGGGGCCGGCGTGGGGGCACTCACCTCTGCGGCCGCCACCTCGTAGCCGTCGGGGTTCATGGAGGGTAGCAGGTGGATGCGGGTCGTGTTAAGCAGGCGCTGGATTCGGGGGTTGCCCAGCAGGTACTCAGAGCAGAGGTACTGGGCCAGGTAGATGAGCATCTCGCGGCCCGCCACCTCGTTGCCGTGGATGTTGCCGATGAGCTTCACCTCCGGCTCCACTGTGGGGGGAAGGGGGTACAGTGACCTGGGGGCTGTCTCCGGGGTCCCCGGAAACTTGAGGGTCCACATGGCAAGGGCAGCCTGTTGTTATGGAACCGATTCACGCTTGTTCTGGCCCAAGTGTCTCTGTGATTAACGAGGTCTCATCAAGGCCACCACTTTCTTGAGCTCATCGGTGATGTAGAGCCTTACATACTAGTGTGATGGATCAACGATAACTGATTAGTAATCATATAGATTATCATCGGCCTGTGTGAATTTCATTCACGGCCACTCCCCGCACTTGTGCAACAGAGGAGAGCGGACACTGGGGCTTAGGCAGGAAGATAGGTGGCCCTCGAGTGAAGGGATGGGTAGATGAAGGGATGGGTGAGGATGGAGCGAAGATGGGTGGGTGGAAGGACCGCTGGGTGGAAGGAGGAAAAGAATGAAGGAAGAGAGAAGGATGGAAGAAAGGAGGAAAGGAAAGAAAGAAGGAATGAAGGTGCGGGGAAGGATACATGGATGGAAGAATGGGTGGATACGTGGACGGTGGATGGAGCCCAGGGTCTTGCTGACGTGGACCCTGGATGAGTCGCCTCTCCTTTCTGAGCCCCGCACAGAACACGTGGAAAACGGCCTCTCCCTCCCAGGCTGAGTGCAGCCCCACCCCTCCCACAGCCCCAGTGCACAGATGCCCCAGAGGCTGTCACACCAGTCACTGCCCTTGGCCCCTCACAAAGGACACCACCCGCCCCCGTGTTCCACAGCTGTGCCCGCTCAAGTGGGAGTCCCTCCTTCAGCCCAGAGCTGGAGGGGGAGCTGGGCAGGGTGGGCCTTGGAGGCAGGGGCGAGGCCCTGATGGGAGATGGGGCTCTGGGCACGTGAAGTCCACGCTGCAGAAGCCACCTGGATGCAAACCAGGCTGAGCGCAGTCAGACCAGCAAAGGGGGCTGGAGCCGCTTCACCAAGACGAGGGCCATGAGTCAGTACTTGGTATTGACCAAGGCCAGATCGGCCTGGTCCTGTCTGACCCACAGGGTCTCGGGCACAGGCGAGCTGAGGGGCTGGGGAGAAGGCCTGGGACCCTGCGCCCAACTGCTCTTGGTGCCCCGGAGCCAGGGTGCTCATCTTCGCCTTGCCTCCCAAGAAACAGGCCGACCAGCCAAGGCTCCGAGTCTTTGCCAGAACATCGGGTTTTCTGGGGCCAGACCCCCATGCCCCACCCCCGGAGCCCAGCGTCTTTTCCTTGACCTGCCCCTGAAGTTGCTTCACGGTCATTTTTTCCAGCATCTGCGCTGCAGGCCAGAAGGGCCTTCCCAGTCATGGCAGGTGAACCAGGACCGCGGCAGGGTCTGACCGCCACGGAGGCCTGCAAGAGCGCGGCTCCAGAGACAGTAAGATCCAGCCCTTCCCACGTGGCTCCCCAGCTCCAAACTGGACATAGCCTCCTAGGAGCTGAAATGGATTTGGGTTTTAAATAAACGGGAAGACGCTCTGTGAATTCGGACCAAGCCACTCAAAGGAGGAGCTGTCGGGGACCAGGACCCAGTGCCAACATACCTGCCTGGAGTCCAGGTGCACCAGGGCAAGGTTGCAGAGACAACAAAACGCACAGTGAAGTTTTTCACCAGAGACGCACAAGGCCCAACGGGCCTGCAGTCACTGTACACCCCTCACCTCAAGCCCCGCCACGCCTGCAGCCCACACCCACAGGGCCATGACCCTCCTGGCCGCCTCCTCCCCAACGCCCAGCGTGGCTGTGGCAGTAGGTGCACACGCCTGGGGATGTGGCCAGCACCCCAGTGCCCCCAGCATGCCCTAAATCCCCACCCACCCCGTCCCCCAAACATGGGGGGCTTTGATTAGGACTGGGAACCGGCTCATGCGCCCCAAGGCCAAGCGGGCAGGTGCCTTCTCCCAGCCCAGACCACTCACCCTGCCCCACCCCCACCAACAGCGGCAGCGGCTTACTCAGCTCGTGCTGGCCAGGCCGGCTCGAGAACTCGATGACCAGCAGGTCCCGGCCGTCGAAGCTGCGCCCGATGCTGTAGGTCTTGGAGATGTGGGCGCAGCGGGCCGCCGTCCGCTTCAGCACGCGCACCATCTGGGCGTAGGAGTGGTGAGTGAACTGAATGAAGGTGTGCGGGTGGCTCGAAGGCAGTGCCTCCTCGATGTCCAGGCCTCCTGGGGGCGGAGGGGGAGGTGGGCACGGGCACCAGGGGTCAGCTCGGGGCTGCCGCGGCCCTCACCCCCACCCCCGGCCCCGCCCTGGGGAGCCCAGGGTGTCGGGACCTCCACGGGCCCCTGGGATGGCTCCCCAGACATGACGTGTCTGCGTTTGTAATTAAAGTTCCCTTTGTGAAGCCTGACGTGGACAGCGAGTCACAGCCCCTGACAGGCGTACACAGCCACGCAGCTCCTAGCATCGGTGAAGAGCAGGCGTATGTGGTTAGTTTGGAAATTTCGTAACATACAGAGTGGCAGAATACGAGGCAGAGGCACACGGACAGGGTCCTCAAGGAAAACCGCGGTTTGGCTGCCTTCTGACTTCGGGTGATTCTGTGTCCCCGGGTATCAGGCGTCAGCGATGATGGGGTAGGGAGTGTGGGGGGAGAGGGGTAGCAAACGTATGCTTTATCCCCCAAATTTGCAAAGCTTGCTCTGGAGACAGTCTGGGCTTCCAGGCGTAGGTAGGCTGTCTATCACAGCCATCCCCAGACCAGTTGGCGGGACCCCTCCCGCTCACAGGAGCACCCCAAGGCCAGCCCAGGGGCTCCCTGCCGCCCCCTCCCATGGGGTGTCTGCACGGGAAGATGCAGGTCCCAGCGGGCTGGTCTTGGAGGGTAGGGGCACGAACAGTGGACAGCTTTCCCAAGCGTCTCACTTGCCCTGTGGTTTCATTTCTGCTCAAAATGGTTTCTGAGGGAGAAGAAAGCAGACAGAACCAGCAATTTGGTGGCAGACTGGCCCAAAATAAACTCCCTCCAGCCCACTCTGCGGGCTTCCCCGGGGCGGGCGGGCCTGGCCCCACAGTGATGTCGGGCTCCTTTCCTCTGCCTCTCGGACCCCACCCGGCCACACTTCCTGCCTCTTCCCGGGTGGACGGCCCCTGTCTGCCTGTAAAGTGCGGCCCATGGGCCATTGAGTCACAGAGAAGTTGCAGGTAGATGGCACTCCCATCTCCCTCCCAGATTCAGCTCCAAGATCAGCCCTGAGCTCTGCACAGCCAGTGAGTGGCCGAGCGGGAAGCCAGGGCTCGCTGGGGGCCAGCCCGAGGCGCCCGAGTGCCACCCCCCACCACCTCGGTTGCCAGCCGGGAGCCGTGGACACAGCGGGCGCCTGAGAACCATCAGGCGCATAGACTGATGGACCCATCCATCCGTCAGTGGCCAGCCTGGCTCACACCGGCCCCCACCCCGCTGCTGGTGGCCTTCCCAGAGCCTCCACTTGGTCATCTCTGAAACGGCGGCACCCGTGTTCAGGGTCACTGTGGGGTCTTAATGAGACAACTCGTGTGTGACACTTGACCCCAGATCACGTGGACTTCCCTGGGACCTCTGTGACATCACTACGTGAGACGCTGGAAGCCACTGTCCCACACCGCCTGGTGTCACACACTGGCCACGGGTGGCTATTTACACTTAAGCTCAAATTCATTACAATCAAGGAAAATCAAAACTTAAATCCCCAGTCACCTGAGCCACGTTCCCAGCTCTCAGGAGCTGCGTGCGACCCGGGGGCTGCGGTCTGGGCCAGCACAGAGGGCTCTCCCTGCGGGCCACCAAGGCTCCCACTGTTACTGGAGCCATCCCGTCTCATTCACTCTGGAAGCCCAGCCAGGGGGGCAGGGAGGCCTGCAGAGGCACTCGTCACCCATCCCCCCACATCACAGCCACATGTCCCCCAGGAGCCCCTTGCACACCCCCGGAGACGGGGGGCTCACTACCACCTGGGGCTGCCCATTCCACACCTCCACTCATTTGTCTGAGAAACCAAAGCCCGTTTCCGCAGCCCCTCTGGGTGGCTTCCCTGAGCCCATACGGTTCCCCGGACCCCGCTCTGAGACGTCTGGCTGCCGCTCCAGCCAGTATCCCACGTGTGATCTTTCAGGAGTGGCCACAGCGATCACAGGCTTTGCCAGGCAGGCCTCAAGNCCGCCCGGGACCGGTGCTGCAGCAGCGTGGGGAAGGCCGTCCGGTTGTAGGCAACGTCGCTGCAGCTCTGGAGCTGCAGGTCCACGCACATGGCTGGTGGGAGGGGGGACGGCGGGGTCACCAGGGTGCTCCCTCCCAGGATGACCCCCCCCCAGGATGCGCTCAGACGCTTGCCTACTAAGCGCCACTCTGCCCAAGCCGACCCCACTCAGGACTGGAACCTGCAGGGATGGGTGGCACGGAGAAGCCAGGACAAGGCCCACGGCGGAGGGAGCCAGGGCCTTCAGGAGGACCAGAGATGGCCCCCAGGCTGACCCGTGAGAGGGCCCAGCAGGCCGCTCTGGGTCTCAGCTTCCACATCCATGCACTGGGCCCAGGAGAGCCAGCCCAGCCAAGGGGTTGCCTCGTTAAGGCACATGGTTGAGTTCTGTTCAGCAAAAATATTGTCCTACTTAAAGAGAAAAAAATAATTCTTTACCAGCTTCCCTGGTGGGTCAGCTCATAAAGAATTTGCCTGCAATGCTGGAGACTTGGGTTTGATCCCTGGGCTGGGAAGATCCCCTGGAGAAGGGAACGGCTACCCACTCCAGTATTCTGGCCTGGAGAATTTCACAGACTATACAGTCCATGGGATAGCAGAGAGTTGGACATGACTGAGGCGCTTTCACTTTCACTTAAACGTAAAAAAATCCAGTCCTGCTCAGAATACCCCAACACCCAAATCTGGCAGGAGGAGCCTTGAAGATATGCCTGCTCTGAGCCCTCCAATACACCAGATCCATATCCCAGGAGATCCATGCTCCCTTCCTCACTTTAGGGACGAGGAACTCAGGGCCAGGCAGGGAGGGTCTTGTCCCAGCCATGGACTCAGCAGGTGCCGAGAACACACAGGTTGCAGAGCCAGCCAACGTGGCACAGGCGTACGTCAGGTCAGACCCCAGACCTCCTCAAGCGCGCCTGGGGTGGGGGCGTGAAGAGGGAGGGATGGAAGAGACCCCCTGCTGGAGCCCAGGGCAGAGCCAGGGGTGGGAGCCCAACTGCACAGAGGGAAGGGCTTCCCTCTCTTGTTTTGCCTGATTTCTTGCTCTTTTCATTGGGTTTGCGTTTGATCGACAGGCCCTCTTACTCATCACCCTCTGCAGAACCCCAGGTTCTGCCCCCCACAAAGGCTTCGACAGCATGGAGGGCCTGCATTCACTCCCACAAAACAAAATCGGGCGGTCCAGGTACATACCGCTGTCCGCAGCTGCCGAACTGGGGCATCCACCTGTGGAGAGAAAGGGCGACACCATCAGTCGTCCCCAAATCCCGCTGCTCCTCACAGGGCCGGTCCCCCAGCCCTTCCCACCCTCCCTGCCACAGCCGCCCTCTGACGTCCATGTGGCCATCCCCCCCATCCCACGGGTGGAAAGACTGAGTCTCAGGTCACTCGGCTTCCCTAACAGAAGGCAGAGCCCTGACTTGGACTGCTGGCCAATCGCCGCGGTGTGAATACATCCACTGGGGACGATTCCAGCTTCCTGCAGCTGATCCAGTTCTCCCCAGATTCCCACATGTGTTACCAACAGCCCTCAGAGCCTGTACCAGGCCCCCCACTCCTGATTCTGACCCCTCGGGATTCCTTGTCCCGCTAAGAGTCACGCAGGCTGTGGCCCTCTCCCCTCCGGGACACCCTGCAGTGGGCCAGCCTGTTTCCTGAGACGAGGACATACCCACAAACTGTGCTTGGAACCATGAGCTCCAGGGTCCTGCCCAAGCCCCGCACAAGTGAACCAACAGTGAGACCCTGGGAAGCCCACTGAAACCAATCAACCAACGCCACTGGCCAGGTGCCCCCCGCCCCCCATCAGAGGCAGGACCCGAGGGCTTTGGGAGGGCCAAGAGAGACAGAAATCAGATCTGTGGCTCGGCTGGTGCAGGGGAAGGGCAGGTGGGGGGTGGAAGTGCAGGAAACAAGAAGTCAGAAGTGGGTGCAGGGCCGAGGTGGGGGGGTGGGGCAGAGAGGCAGGCAGAGCGGGGAAGGAGCTGGGACCAGAGGGGAAGTGTCCCAACCCCAATCTTCATCTGGAACCCAGGCCTGGACCACAGTCCAACAAGGATGGAGGCTGCTTCTAGGGACTCACTTCACAACCCCGGGTCACGGAAGCCTGCCGGAGCACACGTGAGCCCCCAGCGGGGGGATACAGGTGGGGGGTCCTGTTAGGCTAGCGGAGCAGCCCCCTCCACACACAGTACCCCCAACACAGACCACGGTTCCCCCACCGAGGACAGGGCAGCCACAGCCCCTGATCCCCTGCGGACCAACTCCCTAAGCTGTCGCAGGAAGGAGACGTTCAACGCGCCCTGTCACCAAGGACTCCAGGTGTCCCAGCCGGCTGGAACCACTCGGGCAACGTAAGGGGCAGGAGGATAACTTTCCTGAAGCATCCAGGCAACAGGGCTGCCCCTCAACACAACAGAGAGGGCCGCAGCTGCCCGCCACCCCGCCCTGGGTGCCCCTGCTACGCGCGCTGGGCCGGACGGGGCTGGTGGGTGAGAACCCCAGGCGCCCTGAGTCCCCTGCTGGCCTGGCAACTTCCAAGCACGCGCCCGACTCCCATCACCCAACTCCACGCCTTTCCGGTCTAAGCTGTTCCCAGGTTGCGTCCACTGCTGTCTGCAGCCCGAGGAGGCGTGAAGACTAACCAAAACATGGAAATAAAGGAAGGACGGGAAACCGCCCTGGCTCTGCTTGGACGCTGCGCTATCTGCCCGTCTGCATTCGGGGAACAGACGAACAGACCCAGTCGGAGCTGGACCCCCCGGGAGCATTCATGCCCAGCGCTCACACTCAGAATTCACACTTACCGACCCGTGCGACGCCACACCTGTCAGCTCAGGAGCCCCAGGCCTCCCCAGGTCAACGGCTCCCGCCAAGGCCCCGCCCCTCCTCACACCTGTATCCGGATGCCAAGTCTGTGCCTGCCGCGTGCCAGCCCAGAGCCAAGCGGGGCAAACCTGAAGACGCACTCAGACTCGGTGAGCACCGCAGGAAAATGCGGACGGAGGAGGCCAGAACCAGCAGTTACCCACACGCCAGCTCCTTCAAAACATCAGGCCCACTCAGCTGCCTGGACGTGAGTGGATTTGACAAGCGGATCCCTCCTGGTTGCACGTGGCTTCAAGCCTCCCCAAGTCACAGATGAGAAAGCTGAAGCTCGGGAATTAAGCTCATCTCTGGGCCTCCGCCTCCCCGTCTGTAAAATGGGGGTGATAACAGGAGTACCCACTGCTGCTCACAGGTGGCACTAGTGCTAAAGAATCTGCCCGGCAGTGCAGGAGATGCCAGAGACGCAGGTTCTGTCCCTGGGTTGGGCAGATCCCCAGGAGGAGGAAATGGCAACCCACTCCAGGATTGTTGCCTGGAGAATCCCATGGACAGCGGAGTCTGGAGGGCTACAGTCCATGGGGTCGCAAAGAGACAGACCGACTGGGCAACTTGGCACCATTTTGCTGGAGGGTCCCATGAGGGGTGCTGACGGCAGGGTCTAGTGAGGGCCCAGCACATAGTGGCCCGGGGTCGCCCAGGAAGGAGGGGGCACGGCCCCTTGTGACCCGCCACAAGATCACAGTGCCCANAGGGGGCACGGCCCCTTGTGACCCGCCACAAGATCACAGTGCCCAGTGGGACGGACAGGGGGGCAGCATCTACTGTGTCACCGACGCCTCCAGCGTGGCTACCAGGAGCAAAAGAGAGACGGTGGGCTCACCTCCCAGAACGGCCGTAACGAAGACCCACAGGTTGGTGGAACAGGCCTTGATCCTCTCCCGGTTCTGAAGGCCAGATGCCCAAAATCAAGCTGCTGGCAGGCCACACCCCTCTGCAGAATCGGGGAAGAGTCCTCCTGGACCCCCAGCAACCCTCAGCTGTGGCCACATCACCCAATCCCTGTCTCCGTCACCCATGTCCCTTCCAGTGTGCTGTGCCCGAATTCCCACCTTCTTCCAAGGACAGCAGTCATGGGGTTCAGAGCCCAGCCTGCGCCTTCCTCCTAATGCAGCCAAACCCGCAAAGGCCCGGGTCCCGGTCAAGTCACAGTCAGAGGCATGGGGGAGGGCACCTAGGACTTCAACATATCTTTGGGAGACTCAAAACAACAAGCATGCCCCACTGGGGGCCTTGGGGAGCTCAGGCCGGGGTGGGGTCGAGAGGACACACCATCCACGATGGTAGCCACCAGCCCCGCGTGGGCGCTGAGCACCTGAAATGCCGTGACTTGAAATGGACATGTGTTTCAGGTGTAAAATACCAACTTGCAGGCCTGGCACTAAAAAAACAATGCAAAATAGTTCAGTCGTGATTTTTATATTGATGACAAAGCACTGGAACGATACTGCACATGCGTGCTAAGTCACTTCAGTCGTGTCCGACTCTCTAGGGCCCCATGGACTGCAGCCCACCAGGCTCCTCTGTGCATGGGATTCTCCAGGCAAGAATACTGGAGTGGGTTGCCGTGCCCTCCTCCAGGGGACCTTCTGGACCCAGGGATTGAACCCATGTCTCTTGCATCTCCTGCTTTGGCAGGCAGCTTCTTTACCCCTAGTACCACCTGGGAAGCCCCAATATTGTGTATATATCAGGTTAAATAAAATTTGTTCTTAAATTTAATTTCACCTGTTTCTCATTATCTCTTTCGAGTAGCTTTTGGGAAATGTTAGGCGATGTTTTTGGGGTTGGCATCAGCGTGTTGGACAGCGCTTGTCCAAAGGCTGTTTTGAGCAGTCCACACGTGACCGTTACACCTCTTGACCACAAGGTGTCAGAGTGTCTTCAACCAAGGGAGAAAGACTGCCGTGGGTCGGGGTGTCTTAGATGGGCAACAGGAAGAGAATGAGGTCAAAGAGGTCGGCCCGTCGACCCAAGGACACACAGCGGTCCAGAGAATTCAGGATTTGAACCCAGACCTTCGTGGCCCCTCAAAGCATGGAAACGGCCTCAAATTCCAGGCTCCTGATGAAGACCTGCAGGAAGGCAAGGGACAGGCAGGGGGAGGGGCTAGGCCTGCTTGCTCTGAGCCCATGGACAGTGAGACAGGAAGGACAAGGACAGTCCTGGACATAGCAGTCTGGAGTCAAGCTGCCCGGCCCTGCCCTCGTCACTCTGCAGTCTGGAAAAGGCGCTGGGCATCCACGGACCACACATGCTCAACTGTCAGGAGATCCCACTAGAAAAAGGAATTATTCTAGAAAAAGGCACTGATGCCATCATGGAGGGGAAGACAGAGACCCAACCTGCCCGAGCCTCCAGGTGAGGAAGGGGCAGCCTGGGTCCAGAGGAGGGTCTGCACTTCTCCCTAAGAAAGGGCAGGTCAGGGAGAGCTTCCTGGAGGAGGGGGTCTGTGCTCCCTGACAAGCCTATAATAGTGGACACTTCCTGGGGTCTCAGGGGAGGCTCCATCCATGACACCCTCTGCATGACCTTCTGCATCCCACGTGTGCACACAAGTGCGGGCACACACTCAGACACACCCAGACACACTGCCCGGCCTGGGGCCTTTCTGTAGAAAGTGGGGGAGGGAAGAGGTGAAGGTGGGACAGAGGTGGAGAGAAAATTCAACTTGAGCTGAGAGAAGGAAAGGGAGAGAGGGGCCTGGCACACCGCAGGGGCTCTTTGCTCCTGGCACAACCCACTTGGCTGGTGCCAGCAAATTCTCAGGTGTCCACAAACCTCCGGCACTTGAGAGACTCAGAATCCAACACGCCCAGACCCCAGTGTGGGAGGGAACCCCCCCGCAGTCCGGGTCACAGGTGTCTGCCGCTAAGGACCCTGAGGGCGGGGGACCAGACGCACCCTCACCTTTCAATATGAAGGGAAACTGAGGCCCACCCAGAAGGCAGTGTGGTGAGGACCAGGGCCCAGGCCCCAGCTGGCCCCTCGCCCCCCGCCCCCCATTCCCAGGTGCCTCCCATCACCCTCCCAGGGGGGCAGCCCCTGGACTCTCCCTGAGTCCCGCCGTCCCCCTGCCCCCAGAATCCTCCAGGAGCACCCCTTTCCCCATCAGGGACCGCAACCCTTCCCTGGCCTTCTGCACCGGCTTCTGGAGACGCCGCTGTCCACATCATGGAGTTGGGAGGGGAGGGTTCCAGAGGCCACCCCCTTCCTGGAAGGACTGGGGACCTCGGATGCCCTCTCTTCCTGCAAAGTCCTGGCACCTGCTCCCTCGGACCCCACCTTCAGGGCACCCCTCCGCCCCCCTCCGCCGGCGGTGCCCAGACCGAGAAGAAGCCCCTGCTGGAGGCTTGGGTGCCGAGAGCTGGGCATCTCCATTGACCCCCAACCTGCGTGTGCGCTCCACCCCGGGGTCCCAGCTTGGATGCGCTCAGCGAATCAGGCACCCCCTCCTGTGCAGACCCCCAGGTCCAGGGTTCACAGGGTGCCCACTTGGGGGGCGTTCCCTGGAGCCCCGGGTCACGCGGGGTAAAGTTGGCGGTTCCGGGGTCGCAGAGTTCCACCCCCGGGGCCGGGAGGTCCCGCCTTACCCTCGGGGCCCCAGGCGGGCTCGCACCCGGGCCGGG